AGGCTACTCCATTGACATGTTAGTGGTCACAAATTACTTGTACATGATACCTTTAAAGCTAGGGTATACATTACCAAAGTATATAGATAAAATCCATGTCACTCCAACAAAAACAGACTCATAAATTACATTAGATATACATTGACAAGTATGGTCCACAACTTGCCTATAGTGGAAATTTTCATGATAGTTAAATTTGGATTTTGCAAATCAACATAGTAAATTTACAGAAAATAGCCCATAATGTATCTAATAGTGCAGAAAATGTAGCATAGGTTCACACTACAATTTACCTTTAAATTATATATGTATTATTAGATTTTAAAGTTGGTGGAAGTTCAATGCAATAAGTTAAGTTATTAACAAAGTGTTACAACATAGGAAGTTTGTAATGAAACTATCAGTTTGCTAGTAATGACACACACAAGCAGCATATAACAGTAGAAAAACAATAGATTTTAGTTGACAGGTAATATCTCTTTTTGCTAGCGTTAAATACAAAGTGTGACTAATACTCTATTATGCCAATATCCCAAAACATTTGGCCCTTGAAAAAAGTAATACTAGACAACAAAAACAACTATTAATTGTGATATACATAAATATAAATACAAATAAATATAAAGTTGCATATTTTATAATAATATTATAACATCCTAGGTCTACCAATGTTGGGTTTAAGGATTTTATCATGTAAGTTTGCTTGCTGGTATTTTTATATGTTAAATGAAGATTACTACCAAAAGCATGAACCATTTAGCATAATAGGACAGTTCTATTAGTCAGTTATTTTCTATTTAGTAAATTACCATAAAAGACATAAGTGTAATTTAAATTTGATTAAAGGGTATTTTAAGGTGTTAATGAGCATGCTTCATTATTAGTTATGTAGTTGATTCTGTTATGTAGTTGATTTTGAAAACAGAATCCTGGCCAAAAGTGAGTTGAATCTTAACTCTTAAAGCCACTTTTTTAATAATACTATACAGAGAGTCCTTATACTATACAATTGCTAATACTATACAGAGAGGATAGTCCTTATACAGAGAGGGCAACAGTTGCTAGTATATTCTTTTGTTGTAAGTCAACAGTTGCTAATGCTAACACTATACAGAGAGGATAGTCCTTTCCAAACTTGTTTATTTGCAGTTGCCACAACTGAGAATTAAGAATTCATTTGTGAGTTGTCAAAATCCAGCTAAATCTGTAAGTCATTCTACCAAGGAAATCCTTGATATTGCTCCAATTCAGATGGTTATTCCAGTCTATCTACAAGGTAATACCCCTAATACCAAACCTGCTAAAAGGGAAGTTGAAAATATTGCTGAAAATTATTTAGAGGTTGAAAATACTCGCATCACAAACCTTATAGTTCATTCATGCTTGTGATGAGCCCCATAGGGAAGATAACATGGATAATATTTTGAATAATAATCCTGAAGAAGCTCCTAATGTTATTATTCCAGTCATATATACCTTCTTAGATGACATTCTTAATGACTATCACGTGGATAGTGACGACTCTAGTGATGAGAAAAATCCAGCAAGTCATGGGAATGATGAGAATGATATTATGAACAATGATATTAACATACCTCATTCAAATGATGAAAATTCCTAAGATTATATTATTAGTTTTCCTACTCTTATACCTAGCATTCTGATTAATCAGAGTCTCAATATTATAATTAGTGAATATGGCAGTGGTGTCTATGCTAGTCCACTAAAATTCAGTTACCACATTTTTGCCGGCACACATGTTCCAAACATGTCTCTCCTCAACAATCATTTTGATTTGACCATATATTTCAGGATTTCACTGAGTATACTAACTTGGAAGAATGCATCACATACTTAACTGAATACATCATAGCCAATGGTCCCTTTGATGGATTTCTTGGGTTCCCACAAAGTGCAACACTTTCAGCACTTTTAATAGGTTATCAGGCACAGGGAAAATTGCTAAAGGAGCATCCACCTATAAAGTTTTTTGTATCAATATCAGGATCTAAGTTTAGAGATCCTAGCATATGTGATGTTGCATATAAGGATGTTATCAAAGCTAAATCGGTTCATTTTAACAACAACATTTCATCTTAGAAAACCTCTACCAAACTATACCAGTTAGAAAACCAGTTATACCAGTTAGAAAACCTATACCAGTTAGAAAACCAGTTATACCAGTTAGAAAACCTATACCAGTTATACCAAACTATACCAGTTAGAAAACCTATACCAACAACATTTCATATCAAAGCTATACCAGTTAGAAAACCTATCCAAACTAAAATTCAAATCAATTCCATCTTCAATTTAACAACAACATTTCATCAATACTCCATCAAACATTAAAAAAAACTGAACCACCATACATGAATAATCATGAAAACATACCTAATATGCAGAGTTCAAAGCCTTTGCTAGTATCACCAAAACCTCCAACAATTTTTCCACAAGTACCTGCTTCAAATTTGAAAACACGAAATACTCTTTACAATGTATTCATTGAAATTTCAAAACCTAACATTTCAAAACGCATAGCGAAGAGAGAACCTGGAAAGAGTGAGTATGGTAACGGTGGTAGAAGAAGTTGTGGTGAAAAATTTTGTTATCAAGAACTTAGAAAGACAAAACGCATACCTCAAAATGCAGAGAGAAGAAGTTGTACGTGGTGAAAATTTTCGTTATCCAGAACTTAGAAAGACAAAGTCACTGCGCGCAGAACCTATAAGAAATTATTTTAATTAAAATTTATTTAAAAAACTTTATTTTAATTATATATAATATATTTTCGATAAATGTACTATAAATGTTAACTAGCTTGGTGGTAAACTTATGTTTTTGGGAGGCTAAGGTCATCTGTTCGATTCCTCATATCAACATAAATTTTGTAAGACCCTCTTTTCTTAAGTCATTTCAGTAAAAGAACCGACTTAAGAAATTTAATGTAAATTATATTTTTTTTATTTAATCTTTGTAAGTCGGTTAAACATAGATCGGTTAAACATAGATACGACATAACAATGTTACAAACATAGATACCACATAACAATGTTACAAATATTTACGAAATTGTCACCACATCACTTCTTAAGTCAGGTGGCAGGTGAACTGACTTAACAACCTCTACTATAAAATATTTTTTCTACTAGCACACAGTTAGTGAAAATAAAAGAAATACGATAATATAGAACTTGTTAGAAGAATAGTTGGAGTTTTCCATGTTTATTTAGTAACAAGTGACTTATGTCTTACATAAATTTATTTTTAGAGAATTCATTTATAATCAAATTCTATTTCCTTCTTTTTGAATCCTTCTTTTTGAAAATCTCTTAATCTTTTGACACAAGAGTCCATTTCTTTTTTATTGAAATTCGTTTCAAATAATTCTTCAAAAGTGGAATCATTTCTTCTTATAGCACAAAATTTTTGGATATATGTTTTCGACAATCTTTTCTAATTTGTTATTTAGTCTTTGACGCTGAAAAGAATTCCTACAAAATCAAATTAAGTTTTAACTTTTTGTGTCAAACTTTTTTGGATCCGTTTGTGTTTGTGGAATGAATTTTGTCTCTAGGTGTCCAACTAGAACTATGATCACACAAGTAAGAAGAAACATATATATTTCTCATTTTGCTTTCATTATCTTTTTTATAGAAATGAGATGGAGAATAGGCATTTCAACTTTCTGACTTTTTTTTATACCAAAATAGAATAGATTAAGATGACCATTTGACTGTAGTAATTATATTTAAACACATTACTTTTTGACGATTTACTTGTATTGAAAATATTATTGAAACTCTTAGCATTATTTTTAGGCTCATAACTTAGACTGACATTATTATAGGTAGCTCCCTGAAACTCTACCTTTTGTAAATTTACTATTCGTTTAATACAAATCTTTAACTTCACTTTTAAGGGAGTTGCACTTATTACGATTTAGATTACCATTTTCTAATATACTCCTTCTAAACCTAATCATTTTATCAATATTTTTTTTCATTTTTAAAAATTTAACATGATCTGTAACATGACTTTTGAAAAGCATAAATTATAAAAGAAAAGTTAACAGACTAAAATAAAGTTTGTGATGAAGTCTTTATTCTTCCAAGTCATACTCTCATAGTTTTAAATGATAATAGAGTTTGTTGGTAAAGGGATCGGGTTTAGGCCCAAGGGGCCACCCAAATTTAATAAAAGTGTTATTTTTTAGAAGAAGTTAGTAAAGAACAAAGGGGAGAAATCTAAGTATTCTTATTTATCCATTCCTGCTCTATTTCCGCATAAAATTATTTTGTTTTCACCGTTACAACCATCTCTTCCGACGGTAGTTAAATCATCTTTAAGTAAGTCGTTCGACTCTAATCATATTTTTTCTAGAGGGTCTATCCTTTGTTGCAAGGAAACGTTAGACTCTGACTTAAGACTAGGAAATTGAAGATTCTTAGCGGAGAGTAATAATGAGGTCGCGGGCAAAGTTTGGGAAAATAATAAAGAGCTTGGTATTAAATGAGGGAGAGAAGATGAAGTGTATGTTAGTATGATTAGATCCATAGACATCAGAGACAAGGAAGAGAAAGTTAAGAGGGTGGCAAAAACTAAGTGTTTCCGATTATTGTTGTCTCCTTCAATGTGAGAGGGTGTGACAATCCTTTGAAGAGAAAATGGACTCAGCAGATTACCAGGAGCAGGAAAGTTGATGTTTGTTTCTTGCAGAAGACTAAAATTAAGAAGATGGACGATACGTTAGCTTAAAGCATTTGGGGAAGCAAAAATGTTGAGTGGACGACAAAATATTCTAATGGCTAATCGGGGGGATTGTCGATTCTCTGGAGGCTTGATAGTATATCATGTCTCTTCAATTTTCAAGGGGAAGGTTTTGTTGGATTGTGCACGTTATGGAAAGGTAAGGCGTGTTTCTTCATTAATGTTTATTCTTCCTATTTCAAGCTTCGAAGAGGAGATTATGGAGCGAGTTGATTGGTAAGAAGAATTCGATGAGGAGTGGTGTATTGGAGGAGATTTTAATTCGGTTAAGAAGGTCAGGGAGAGGAGTAGCAGGTCAGGGGGAAATTGTTCTAAAGAGAGATTTTTCAGATTTTATTGACAACTTGGATTTAGTGGAATTGTCAGTTGTAAGGAGTAAATTTACGCGGAGAAGGTCAGATTGCGACGTTAGTAATAGACTTAGTAAAATTCTTATTTCATCGGGTTTGGTTAAGATGTGGAACTGCAATGGTTTGGTAATAGGGCTAAGAGACGTATCAGATCATTGTCCGGTTTGGTTGAAGTACAAGGTTATTGATTGGGGGCCTAAACTTTTTAGATTCGTTAAAGGTTGGTTTGAGCATGGTAATTTTTTAGACTTTGTAATGAAGGAATGGTCAAGTATCAAGGTGGAGGGCAAAAAGACTTATATTATGAAGCAGAAGCTTAAGATTCTAAAGGGGAGACTCAAATAGTGGAATAGAGAAGTCTTTGGTTGGGCGGATCTTAGCATAGATTCGGCTGTATCAGAGATGAATTTGATTTGGTTGGCAACTTGTTGGTGTTTGTGGCTTCGAAAAAATAATGTTATTTTCATGGAGGTGGGTTTAAATGTTGCGGAAACGTGTTATCAAATTAAATTAATGTCTTGGAATTGGGTTATTTTAGGATTGAAGAGTAGGAAGGTTTTGTTTCTTTATAATTGGTGAAGAAATCCTATTGAATATCTGAAGATACAATGATATTTTAATTTCTATTGAGCACTTTTTGTACTCCTTTTCAATCTAGTGCTTATTGAACAAAAAAACATTGGTAAATCTCGAAAATATGTCTACTTCATAATTGATATTTTTTTGTAGAAATAAATGTACTAATAGGAGTATAACAGATACTCAATCTAATACAAGAAAAAAACGACAATAAAAACCCAAAATCGAATTAGCAAATACCACCAACGAGAGGATTAACAAACCAAAACATCCTAGAACAACAAATATGTAAATTTTGAAAGAATGATATTTTTATTAAATTCATTTGTGTATTATTATGATATTATGTCTACTACTTAAGAATGGCTAAAAAAGTGTAGAAAGGTGGTTAAAATTATAAGAAAATTTTTGTAAATCGATGGCGATTGCATTTAAATTCATTTCTTAGACATATGAGTTATTTTAAATAAATAAATATAGACTTGTATAAATTTTATGCTAGTAAATTGAGTTATATATATATATATATATATATATATATATATATATATATATATTTATATATATATATATATATATATATATATATATATATATATATATATATATATATATATATATATATATATATATATATATATATATATATATATATATATATATATATATATATATATATATATATATGAGTGAGTTGGAATGTGTTGACACATCAGATATAAGTTTACATTGAGTAATTAAAACATGGCACGTGTACTGTTTAACCTATTTTATAGGAAAATTTTAAATTTTAGTTTTAAATTTTAAATCTATATATATATATATATATATATATATATATATATATATATATATATATATATATATATATATATATATATATATATATATATATATATATATATATATATATATATATATATATATATATATATATATATATATATATATATATATATATATATATATATATATATATATATATATATATATATATATATGAGTGAGTTGAAATCTGTTGACACATCAGGTATAAGTTTACATTGAGTAATTAAAATATGGCACGTGTACTGTTTAACCTATTTTATAGGAAAATTTTAAATTTTAGTTTTAAATTTGAATATATATATATATATATATATATATATATATATATATATATATATATATATATATATATATATATATATATATATATATATATATATATATATATATATATATATATATATATATATATATATATATATATATATATATATATATATATATATATATATATATATATATATATATATATATATATATATATATATATATATATATATATATATATATATATATATATATATATATATATATATATATATATATATATATATATATATATATATATATATATATATATATATGAGTGAGTTGGAATCGGTTGACACATCAGGTATAAGTTTACATTGAGTAATTAAAATATGGCACGTGTACTGTTTAACCTATTTTATAGGAAAATTTTAAATTTTAGTTTTAAATTTTAAATCTCTATATATATATATATATATATATATATATATATATATATATATATATATATATATATATATATATATATATATATATATATATATATATATATATATATATATATATATATATATATATATATATATATATATATATATATATATATATATATGAGTGAGTTGGAATCTGTTGACACATCAGGTATAAGTTTACATTGAGTAATTAAAATATGGCACGTGTAATGTTTAACCTATTTTATAGCAAAATTTTAAATTTTGGTTTTTTTTAAATATATATATATATATATATATATATATATATATATATATATATATATATATATATATATATATATATATATATATATATATATATATATATATATATATATATATATATATATATATATATATATATATATATATATATATATATATATATATATATATATATATATATATATATATATATATATATATATATATATATATATATATATATATATATATATATATATATATATGAGTGAGTTTGAATCTGTTGACACATCAGGTATAAGTTTACATTGAGTAATTAAAATATGGCACGTGTACTGTTTAACCTATTTTATAGGAAAATTTTAAATTTTAGTTTTAAATTTTAAATATATATATATATATATATATATATATATATATATATATATATATATATATATATATATATATATATATATATATATATATATATATATATATATATATATATATATATATATATATATATATATATATATATATATATATATAAATATATGAGTGAGTTGAAATCTGTTGACACATCAGGTATAAGTTTACATTGAGTAATTAAAATATGGCACGTGTACTGTTTAACCTATTTTATAGGAAAATTTTAAATTTTAGTTTTAAATTTGAAATCTATATATATATATATATATATATATATATATATATATATATATATATATATATATATATATATATATATATATATATATATATATATATATATATATATATATATATATATATATATATATATATATATATATATATATATATGAGTGAGTTGGAATCTGTTGACACATCAGGTATAAGTTTACATTGAGTAATTAAAATATGGCACGTGTACTGTTTAACCTATTTTATAGGTAAATTTTAAATTTTAGTTTTAAATTTTAAATTATATATATATATATATATATATATATATATATATATATATATATATATATATATATATATATATATATATATATATATATATATATATATATATATATATATATATATATATATATATATATATATATATATATATATATATATATGAGTGAGTTTGAATCTGTTGACACATCAGGTATAAGTTTACATTGCGTAATTAAAATATGGCACGTGTACTGTTTAACCTATTTTATAGGAAAATTTTAAATTTTAGTTTTAAATTTTAAATCTATATATATATATATATATATATATATATATATATATATATGAGTGAGTTGAAATCTGTTGACACATCAGGTATAAGTTTACATTGAGTAATTAAAATATGGCACGTGTACTGTTTAATCTATTTTATAGGAAAATTTTAAATTTTAGTTTTAAATTTGAAATCTATATATATATATATATATATATATATATATATATATATATATATATATATATATATATATATATATATATATATATATATATATATATATATATATATATATATATATATATATATATATATATATATATATATATATGAGTGAGTTGGAATCTGTTGACACATCAGGTATAAGTTTACATTGAGTAATTAAAATATGGCACGTGTACTGTTTAACCTATTTTATAGGAAAATTTTAAATTTTAGTTTTAAATTTTAGTTTTAAATTTATATATTAGGACTATATTTTTATAAAGGAGTTTGATAAAATTTAAAGGAATAAAAAGTGAAAAAAAAACGGAATGGAAAGTAAAAGAGATAAATATTTAATAGAAAATTATTAAAAAGAAATAAGTGCTAAAAAAACAGTAATTAAAAAAACTAACAGTAATTAAAATAAGTGCTATAAAATAGGGAAATTTTAAATTTTAGTTTTAAATTTTAAATCTCTATAAATACACACTTGATTTACACTTAGAATTACAATATTTAATCAACACAACTACACATTATTGAGAGGGAGAAAACAGAAATCAATGGCTATAGAGAAGGAAAGTGCATTGTTACAAAATTCAGAAAATTCAGAAGAAGCTGTGATGAAAAAAAGAGTTATGGCTATTGAGAAGATCAATGGATATATGCAAAAATTGGAGATGGTGAAAAAGAAATTTGATCCATTACCTCATTTCACTTTGCATAGAGTGTTGTCTCAAATTTCTCCACAATTTTATAGTAAAGATGAGTTAACAGAGATAGAAAAAGTCACCCGAATTTTGTGTCAAGAAACAAATCTACCTCTTATTTCACAAAGCAAAGTGGAAGGAGTGGAAGTCAGTAACTTAAAAAGGTGTCGCTCAAGCAACGAAGGTGGTAACATGTTTAATGGAGAAAGAAGAGTGAAACAAAAGCTCGTAGTTAAGAAGAAACCAAACAATCATAAGAAAGAAATTTTGTCATCACCACCACCAGAGTTGCCTAATCATATTAATAACTTGATCAATGTTTTGGATGGCACTGATATTAAATATATCATGTGTAAAACATTGTTCAGCACCGATCTCAGCTCTTACCACAATCGTCTTTCCATGCCAATTTCTCAAATTAAATCAGATTTTTTAACTGAAATAGAAAAGGCAACCTTAGAAACAAGAGATGAAGAGGGAAAACCTTCTTGTTTAGAGGTGGTTGTGTTAGATTCTGATTTTAATGAATTCTCATTATCGCTAAAGAAGTGGAATATGACGAGTTGTAGTACTTATAATCTTGTTCAAGATTGGACAGATGTTTTATCAAAGAATAATTTTAAGGATTATCAAAAAATCGACATTTGGTCATTTAGGGTTAATGGCAAGTTATACTTCATCCTCGATACTAATGAGGCAGAAGAAATTGAAAAAAGTGGAAAACAGAACAATTCAATTGTAATTTCAAAATCGGAAGATAAACGAAGAAGTCAAAGGATGAAGACTGCTAACTCCAGATGGAAGGACTTTGAGTGAGAGTATTCATTCACAATACATATTAATAGTTATAGGGTTATATTTCTACTTCGTTTAAGATGATATTTGTTATTATTGTTTCTTTTTGAAAAG